CTGAAAAGAAAATGAAGTTGAAGATTAGTGGAAAAAAAAAAAAAGAAAAGTTAAAGTCAGATATTATCAATATTAACAAAATGATTGTAATGAAATATTCAATTTTATCCAAACTCATGACAAATAAACTCACTTTGCAGTTTCAAAAGGAATATCCTTTGGGAAACGTTAGGTGACAATGTATAATCAGCTCTGTTAGACTGTTAAGAACCAGCATCAGGCTGAGGAGAGGGGCTGTAGGACAGGGGCAGGCGCTCGGTTTTAAGGAGCACGCCTAGCGCACGTTCCTGGCCTTTCTCTAGCAGAAACACTCTAAGCCATCACACTTGCACAACTGAAGTCTCAATTTTCAGGCCATGTTCCTGCTACAACCAGGCAAGGGCAGTGAAGTGAAAAATCAGATTTTTGTCATTTCTCCCCATGCAAAATCCTTATTGCTGAAACTACTCCAGAGCTTCTCTCCTTGTACACTTGGTCGTGGTCGATTTGCTGGCCCAGTCCTCCTCTTCACCTTGAACTACACAGCTTTGCTTCACAGTCCGAGTCTGAATGCAGTTACCATTAATGAGATGGACGTGTCAGCTAGAAACAGGACTCTTTGAATGGGTCTAACATTGTTTCTGTACTCAAAGAATTTCCGTTTGATCTCAGGTATCACATATAACAACATAAGTAATCTTGAAATTACAGTTGTCTTGCACAGTAGGGCTAATGCAGTAAACACGTTAAGTTTTAATAATACCCTTCATATCTCTCCAAAAAAAGCATTATTTTTTTAGCTTTATGTGAACAATATAACCCCAGAGTGGTCTCATTCTGCGTAACCACCTTATTTTTCAGATGTAAATACAAGCCTGCTGTTTTTGAAAAAGGGACAATGGTTCTCTTTTTTATTTATTATTTTTTTTTTAATCACATATTTGCTCTTCCATGAGCGCAATGTGATTCCTAATTGGCTGAGGGGAAGTTGAGAAAGAAATGTTTCCATGGCATATGCAATCCTCCATCACCCATCGCTGTGGGTCCTGGATGTGAGGTAGACATGGGGTCCAAATTATCTGCACTAGACATTCCTGCCTACTCGGTGACATCTTCAAGGAAGGAGTGGAAATTACCGTTGATAGGACAGTCCTTATTCTTCATTTCACCGAGTCACTGTCTGCAAGAAGAGGAGGGATTCATTGCATATGGAAATCCCAGTAAACAACCTGCTGAGCCAGCTGGGCTATCGAAAGGCAAGAGGGTTCAGCACTGAAAAGGCAGTGACCTTATATAAATGTCTCTCACTCTCTGACCAAGCAGAATTTATATGCTTTTCCTTTTCCAAGGATATGCAACCACACATCTTGATTAAACAAAAGTAGAAAAAAAAGCTCAGGCAGTACCAACTTCAAAGTATACATTGGTTGATATTTGGTATTGTGAAAAAGTAACATTTTTTTCCAGCAAGACTGAGCAAATAGAAAGCGTAACTATGTTCTTCTAAAGTATTCTATGGCAAAATCAGGATGTTTCGCTACAAAGTACAACCAGAGGAGCTGAATGCCTTCAGTTGTACTGTCTGGTTTACTTCGGAAAGTCAACTTCCTATTAAGGGATAATACACTGATAAGGAGTTAATCTACTACAGCTATGATAGTACCAAAACTTCATGAATGCGAGCTCTGCATCTTATCCCACAGTCATGTTTACTTTAGATTTGGGCAGAGAAGCCCTCATAGCTATCAAAGATACACAGGAATACCCAGGGGAAGCCATGTGTTGGGCAGTCCCCTTCTTTAAGACATAGTCTTGCACTTGGCATAACAAAATATGTGTCAAAGCCCCATATAAAACATAATAGTTGCCCTTTTCTATCTATCATCTATTGATGAAGGATTCCATTTGTATGTCAATGCCACTTAAACAGTTATTATCCATGGATAGCTATCTTTGAAAATTATCCAAGGTGGTGAACGAGAAAGTTCCCACTGAAAGAAGAAAAAAAAAAGGAAAAATAGCTCACTTCAGCCTATGTTGTGATCCCTTGAGTTGGAAAAGCAGCAGGTTTGACACTGACCCCATACTCTGGAGCCACTTTGGTCACAAAGACTTCCACAAACCTCAACCTTGGTAACCCTCCACATCAGGATGCAAGCATTTTAATATTTAGAGATATAAAATACTTAGCTTTGATAGCAGCCATAACAGAATCTCTTATGTCTTGTTCATCTACATCTTATCTGCCTCCGTGTGCCTATTTTTTAAGTCTGAGAATCCATTTTAAACATCATTATAATTTTAATTCTCTCAAGCCAAATCTCATTCAAACAGTAAGAAAACATCTAGGAAGGGAAAACAATTAATTTAAAGCAAGACTTGTTTCCAGCACTAAAAATTTCCCTCACATCCCTAGTAACACGGAGGAGGAATTGCACGTACTAGTATTCTGCACGTTTTCATGCCATCACGATAATTTTTAAAACTATGGGAAACAGGACTGATTTTTTTTTTTACTTCTGATTAACTGGTATTCAATAGTGAATATCCCGCACCCCACGGAACAGCAAGTGTGGGAGTGGCCTAGAGGCAAGGGCCACTCGTAAGGAAGGAACAAGCTTGAACACAGAGTGCTCAGGCTTTATTAAATTAGTCGTATGTTGAACCCAGCTACTGAAGTAACTAGTACCTTTACACCGCTGATGGAATAAAACCTGTCGCTACTAGCATTATGTCGGTATTTTACAGAAAACCGGACAAATAATAGGAAAATACGGATAAACGCCATGAGCAGCTTCAAAAGAAAGAAAAAAAATTACTGTTTCGGCACACTATTTACTTCTGAGTACATTTTTATTACTCTTCTGCTAAAGCAGTAATAACTAATTGTCAGTGTTTTACATTACTTTTTTCAGCCTACTGTGTAAATCATGCTTCTTCCCTAAAACGGAAGAGTTGGCTAGTAATCCTAGGGTGAAAATTGTGATCTAAGTTAACGCTTTCTCCTTAAAACAAATGTTTTATGTTTATATTACAGTAATGCTGACGTCTGTCCTGTGATATTAACATAAAAATGGTATTTCAGAATTAGCAATGTCTATATTCTTGTTAAAATAAGAAACACTTCCTCCTTTTCTTTTACAGGATATTGAAATTTCACTTGAACAAATGTGCGCATGTAAACAGAAAATAAAATGTAAAAAGCATTCTTCCAAATCTTCTGTAAAAGAAAATAAAGTATATCAAATTAAGTTGTAAAATTCTCATTCTCACGCCCTCCTAATACACTTGATGTATGTAAGCACAAACATGGAAGAATATATTTCCAAAGGGGAGAAAATACACGCTCAGATATTATCTGGGAAAAAAAATGCATTGAAATTCCTCTGTGATGAAGAGACACTTCTTTTTTTTTTTTTTTCTCCTCAGGGTGACCTCTACCTTCAGAATATGATGGTTTTATTATGATTAATAAATTTCATTTCCACAGAGGAAAGGAACAGTGTCAGCTTAAACTTAAAGCAAGTGAGTTTCTTTTTAAATGCTAATTTTTAAACACGCCCTTGCATGACACCAAATTTAGAAGCTCAGAAGGTTAGCAGAATAGATTCTGATTTCCATGCTGAAAATAGTAAGAAGGATTTAAACTACATTGTCACACTGAAAATCAGTAAAGCTACTTCAGTCACATAGTCATTGGTTCATTTATTCACTACTACGCCAGCATGCTTATTTCTCATTAAAATTAGTGGCATTTAAAGGCTTTGTGATAATTTACACGGGAAATAATCATTCTAGGTAAGCAATTTACTAAAATTTAGGACATGCAAATGGCAAAGTACTTTGAATAAATTAATAGTCAATGAGATTATCTGTGTATTTTACAGAATGTTAAATCGCTGTATCAAAACCAGTATGTGCACTCACAAATTCTTGTCCACGTCTGATGAACAATTTTGATGCATCACTAATCGGGACAAGGTAAGTTCCAGTATTTTCCAGTATATCTGGAACAGGTATTCAGGACATAACAGGAAAAGAAATAATGTTTGCTAGCACTTTGCTACCCATACTGGCACCGGTTCTTAGGTAGCTGGACTAACAACTTACTGGGAAATAACTAAGAAAAAAATCAGCGTAGCCGTGCTAACATCTGTAAAGGCAGCTGCAAACTACTGACCAAAAGCTCTGTATGTGGGGTGTTCTTCTTCACTCATGGTGTGTCTCGATTTCTTCAATCAGTTTCAGGACAAGACTTAAAACTGCTACGATGCTACCTAAAAGCACAGTTGGAAGGGATGCAAGGAGAGCCAAGGCTGCCTGGCCTTACCCAGATAAAGGATTCCAGTAACTAAGGTCGTGCTCTTTCCCCAGTCACGTAACGACGACGGTACCAGGAGAGACGACATGAGCAGCAGAGCTCCTCCGTGCGCGCACCAGCCACGTGCCACGCTGCCGTATGAGTCCTTCAACTCACAATTCCTCACTACAGGAGGATGTGTATGGTGTTCAAAGCATGTGCCACAGATCAATTTACTTCGTTTTGGACATTAACACCAAGAAACTCCAGGCATTTTGGTAACCTGCAGAAGCGAGTCTATATAGAAGGCAATGAGGAAAGATGTCCAACCTAGATTTATGTACTTAAGACCAAGGCAAATGATTGAAATCTGCTGATAAAAACAGTTTCCAGTCATTGCTAAAATTCTCTTTTAAATGCAGAATGTCAAACACTAAGACCGTTCAACAAGCGAGGGCCATAAAGACTTTGTTGTGTATCATCCTCTTCCTCCATGACTGAGAATGCTTTACAGATTTGTGTTGTGGAGCAGAGAAAGGACTGAGAGGATACAGTAGAGACAGACAGCACGATGTAACAGTGCAACGTCAAGTTATGCACCAGTGCTGCACTCCTGCATAACTTGAAAGCCAAGAGAGATTTCCCATTAATATAATATTAAAATTCCTGGGCTTTGAGAGAGATGGAGAAACTTGACCACAGTCTACCAGAGGGATAGGGC